TGGAAGAGCAGCTCCCCCCACTTAATGGCCGTGTGATTCGGGAAGTCACCCAGCCTCTCAGGGCCTCAGTTTCCCTCTGCAAAATGGAATAAAGATGATGCCTAATCTCAAGGAAGCTGTGAGAATAAATAAAATGCTCAGTACTGAGGCAGGACGGCACAGTGGTGAGCAGGGGCTGCCCAGGCGGGAACGCTCCTCTCCACCTAGATGCTGGGTGACTGCACGGCTGGCTTAACTTCTCTGGCCTCTCTTTCCTTCTCTGCAAAATGGAGATCATCGTCCCCACCTCATGGGAGGATTCAATGAAAGAAAAAGCTCTTAGAACAGGGCATAGCACCTGGAAACCCCCCAAGAGCCCTGGAAGGGTTCCTGACTTTTCACTCCAGGCCTGACCTACAGCAAGTCCCCAGGCCTACAACAGTGGCAGACATGAAGGCCAGCATCCCAGTATCAGAAGAGAGGAGTCCCATTGGCCCCCTGGGCTGGTGGGCCCTCCCAGACCACAAGTCAACCACAAACAGCCGGCATTATTATGGGCTTTCCCCAGACAGGCTGGGACTCAGGGTCACCAGCTGGTAACTTCAGAGCAGTTCCCTGGGGTTACAGACCACAGTTTCCATGGGAGAAAAAGCTTCTCTCTTCTTCCTCTTCCCCCAGCCAACAGCTGGCCTGGGGAAGCCTAATCACCAGCCTCCACGGCCCAGAGTGGGAAGAGCAGGCTGCAGTGGATGTCAATGTGAATCCAGCAGCAGGCCAGGTGGGCACCAGGGACAGGCTGCTGCTGAAATGTCCCTGGGCTCTAGTCTACAAGCCCCGTGATCCCGCATGTGGGTGGCAGAGCCCAGGGGCCCCAAGCTGGGGCCACCTCCTCTACCTGTCCACCGTGTAGTAAAGGAAGATGATGCATAAGATGCATCCAGTAGTTAACTGCTTGGATTTACCCAGCACACCTGCAAGCTCTCAAAGGACAGGGACCACGGCTGTCCTGTTCCCACCTGCATACCCAAAGCCCACAGTGGTCTCCTACCCAAATATTTACTGAAGAGACTGATCTTATCTGGGGGCGCCTGGGTGGCTCAGTCGTTAAGCGTCTGCCTTTGGCTCGGGTCATGATCCCAGGGTCCTGGGATCGAGCCCCGCATCGGGCTCTCTGCTCTGTGGGAAGCCTGCTTCTCCCTCTCCCACTCCCCCTGCTTGTGTTCCCTCTCTCGCTGTCTCTCTCTCTCTCTGTCAAATAAATAATTAAAAAAAAAAAAATTAAAAGACTGATCTTATCTGCAAAGTGCCCAGAGCTGGGCACCTGGCGCACAGCAGGTGCTCCCTGACACTCAGGATGACCATGGCTCCAGGCCTCCAGGGATCCTGGCACCTGTGACCCTTCTAGAACACAGCATGTAGTCCAAACAGGGAAAGATGTGAAAAGCTGGATATAACAGAAACCACGTGATTCAAGCACATAATCCAAATTAGCATTTTCTGCACACCTACTATGCATCAGTCAGTGCCCAGAGACAGTGGCTAAGCACCTTATTCACTACTTAGAGCGAGCCTGGGGCATAAGCCCCATTGCCCTCATTCTCTGGCTGAGGAACAGGCTTAGGGACGTGAAGCAGCTTTCCCAGTGCTACCTGCCTGTGAGAACCAAAACTTGAACACAGGACTTCTGGACTCCAGAGCCTGCCTCCCAGGCTGCTCCCGACTACACAGAAGAATCGTGCATAGAACCAGCAGGCCCCGATTCATCCTGCCACTGCAGCGAGGCTGGTTCCAAGCCGCCCAGAGGAATGGCTCCTGCCCTCCTCCCATCCCCACCCCTGCTACCACTTTCCTCGCCCCTGGTGACTCCTTCTTGGGCCCAGCTTAGGGGATAGCTAGCTCCCTCTGCCCCTAAAGCATCCTCGGGGCCACCGGCCAGCCCCAGATCACTGTGAGGCCACCACCAGAGAGGAACTGAAAAGAAAAGGTGAGCGAGAGTGGGTGGTCCAGGGTCAGGAGTCAGACCCTCCCAGGCGCTGCGTCCCACCGTCCAGGTTCCTATAAACTTCTGCCCACACCGGCCTCGCTTTTCTGTGGCCACCGTACACACCTAAACGGGCAGCAACCACATGGCTCCCTTTCCACACCCCACTCCTCAAAGGAGGCAAGGGGAGGGCAGAGGAAGCGGTGCAGGAAGTAACTCGTGGTTTCCAAGGGCAACACCTGGACACACATCCGCAGAGACACAAAGGGAGAAGGAGCTTTGCACAGGGACGCAGGAAGCCCGGCCTGTTCCTGAGGGCAAGAGGAGGCAAGCACGGGGCGGAAGCTCCCAGCATATGGCTCCGATCTGAGCTGAGCCCTGGGGAACGTCCTGGAGCCTCCGCCTGGAGGAGGAAGGTGACTAACTGCAGCAGGAAGCTGGGGCCTGCCAGGTAGGGGTCCACAGAGCCTGCAAGCTGCCCGGGCCCAGCCCTGGCAAGATAGCAGCGTTCTGAAGCTGCTCCCCTCCGGACCCCCCCAGGGGGCTGAGCCATCCAGACAGAGTCCTGCAGGGAGCTAGATCCCATTTCCCATGGCCACTTCTCTGAGAAGCGCTAGGTCCCGGGACAAAACCAAGGGAGGGACGGCAAGCCTTGGGGTCCACCCCACCCAGTCCTGCCAAACTCAAGGTTTTGAGGAAACGCAGAGGCGAGTGGTCCTTACACATGGCTGCCTGAACGGCCGCTGCCAAGAAGGGCATCTCCCTTCTTTGGTTTCTGGCCGAGCCCTGGACAGCGGGCAACGCCCGCACAAGGATCCACATGAAGTGGCCGGTGGAGGGTGGCAGCTGGGGCCCCATCAGGGCCCACATCCGCAAAGTGGGGACTCTGCCACCCACCTTCTGGGACTAGAGAAGACAACTCACGGCACGGTACCTCCTCCCCGGAAAGCTTGGCGGGGCCACGGCCGGCCTCTCCCTCCACATCCCAGCCCCCGCTGCATCTGGGCTCCGGCCCCTGAGGAACCGAAACCCCTGGCGTGCCTGCCGCCCCGAGTCCCCATGCTCGCCCTGAGTGCACACGGGAGAGGAAGTGGGCTGCTGGAGTTACGATGCACGGCTGTGGGGGGGGGCCCGGGGTTCCGGACTCCGGGCCTGTGTTTGGACCGCTCATGAACACAGTATTGAAAAATGCTAGGCAGGGCAGGGCCCCGTCCCGGCTCTTCAGACTTGGAGCAGGTTCTGCTCTGGTGGGGGACACACCGCCCTCCCGGGATCCCACTGCATAGATATCATCTCTCCCCCAGTGTATCCAAATAGGTCATCTGATACAGATTCCCAGGATCTGGAGAAGAACACCCCTTCTTTCAGTGGCCCAGGCCTGGCCCCGGGGGCCAAGCTCCCACCCCAGTACAGTGTGACCTTTACCCCACAAGTCAAGCTACCTGAGCATGATCTCTGCTCCCCAGAGCCTTCCAACAGGTGTGCTGACGTGTCGGATGGACCTTGAGGGGGTGGCCTGAACCCCAGGCCTGGGTCCCTCTGTGACCTTAGTGAAGGGAAAAAATTCACTTGCCTGGTCTGCCCTTCATGTGAAAGAAGGGATCAGCAATTCCTGACCTGGCGAGTTCCCAGGAATCACCCAGAGAAGGTTGGAAAATTCTGATTCCCACGTCCTGTGCCGGTCTTTGAAATGTCCACGTTTTAGAACCAGACCCTGAATTTGGGGAAGAGCCAGGTAGCTGTGATCGGCAGGCCCTGGAGACTCTCATCTGGGAACTCTGAGGTAGCTGTGTGATCTCCAATGGAGCCCATATTTTCAGGATGAACCATGGTGGCAGAGTATTCCAGCCTGGGTAGGCCCCCCACCGTCTACTTGGGGGCAGCATGGGGATGAGGGACTGGACAGCCTCTCTCCCCGCAGAGCCATCTCTTAAATTACGTGCTCTGTGAGCCTGATGTTAAACACAGAATTCTTTTCAGAAAAACATCAAGTTCTGGACTTGAAAATCCTGGAATTCTGGGGCCTGTCCAGATGGCAGGACACCAAGACAAAAACTCTGAGACTGAGGCCTTTCTCTCCCACCTAGGACTCAAAGGCCCACACAGAAAGTTGGTTAAAGAGGAGGGTACACTGCAGGTGTCTGGGATTCCTCTCGCATGTGAACTCACTGGACAGATACCTGCTAATCACCTACCGTGTGTCAGGCAGAAGCGAAATAGACAAAGATCCCTGCCCTTTGTGGAGGTGACATTTTAGATGGGGGAGACACACAAGAGAAAAAAATACATAAAATATTTCAAACAGGGTAGTCAGGGATGGCCACCCTGAGAAGGTGACATTTAAGCAGGGACCTGAAGCAGGGGAGGGAGTGAGCCATGTGGACCATTGGGGAAGGTGCATTCCAGCGACAGGCAAGTGCAAAGGTCCTGAGGCAGGGCATACCTGGTGTGTTCTAAGGACAGTGAAGGGGCCAGTGTGGCTGGAGAAGAGGGCATGAGAAGAAGAGCAGAAGTTGAGGTCAGCAAGAAGCCAGCAGTCAGAGGACACTAGGCTGCAGAGGTCACACTCCAGTGAGATGGAAGGAGCTGAGGGCTTACGTACGGGTAGGAGATGTTGTCAAATGTAGAAGGTGTAACTGTCTATGGGTAATTTGTGGCCTTAGAATATCCTGTCGGCGAATGTCTGGTTGGAGAGTCTAACCAGGTCCATAAAATTAACAGTGGTGGTTGCTTTTTCTTACTGCAAAAGAAAGACCAGTTGCCCTGGGCATTTAAGTGCAATCACTAGGGGTTACTGGTCCCCATGTCTCCAGCTGGCCTGCTCTCTGGTGTGCAGGCTCCCCCACATGGGGCATGCCTGCATCTGACCACGGCTCTAATCCACAGCTTGCTACTTAGGACGTATTTATCAAGTGCCTCCAAGGCATTCTGGTGACCTAACATCGACCCTTCGCACCAGCCTCCCCAGGCCCTCCTGGGTCCAGGTCTCTGTCCTGAAGACCTCAGCTCAGCCCGAGGGCCCTGCACCCCCAGAACTCACCGGGCATGGAGAAGGGGGACAGGAAGGCAGACTCGACTGGCTCCGGCTCTGGGGGTGGGGGTGGCGGCTGGGGTTGTTGTTCCTGCTCCCGCTGAGGGTCTTCGGGGTTTTCCATGGGAACATTCCCATTCTCGATGTTTTCGTGTCTCCCGTTTTGAAGTGGCTTGCTGTTGACACCGTTAGCCGAGTTGATCAGTCTCTGCCGCTGTGTGGACGGGAGGCAAGTCAGACGCCAAGACATGTGACAAAGTGTCACACGGGGGCTTTGTTCCTTACCGGGGCATAGCCCTGAAAGGCTTCTAGAACCATCCCTGGAGATCAGTCTCCCTGAGAAATGGCCCAAGAACCTTTGACTCCATCTCAGTTTGCTCGTCTCCAGGTAGACTGATACCGGGAAGCCTTTGGGGATTGGTCAGTGCCTGCCAACCAGACCACCCAGCCCATGACTCTGGATGACAGTGACCATTCCAGATCCTTGACATTTATAAGCTGCCTGAAGATAGTCACAGGAAACGTCCTGCATCATTTTTTGAATGTTTAATTTTTTTCACATCTATTGTGCAAAAAATACACTTAAATGAGGCATATAGCTCAATGATGTGCTGTATCAAGATGTAGAACATTTCCTGCCCCTCAGAAGATTCCCTCAGGCACCTCCCTGGTTTATATGCCCCTTCTCTCTAGAGGTAACCAAGGTAACTGCTATTCTGACTTTTATAAACATCAATTCGTTTTTCCTGAACTTGAACTTTGTATAAATATAATATGTATTATGCTATGTGTGGCTTCTTTCACTCAATATCTGTAAAACGCATTCATAGAGTTGCACAACCTGGTAGCTAGCTATTTTTCATGGCTGTCGAGTATTCCATTGTATGAATGACCACCAACGCATTGTGTGGTTTCCCTTCTCTGGTTCTCATGAAGAATGCTGCTATGAACATTTGTGCACAGGTCTTTTTCTGGACAAATGCGCTCATTTCTTTTGGGTATTTAGGAGTGGAATTTCTAGGTCATTCAGTAGGTGCACGTTGAACCACTTCACACTCGTATCGGCAATGGATTAGAATTTCCTTTGTGTCCCGTTCTCGTCAATGCTTTACCCTGGCAGTCCTCCTAATTTGAACCATTCTGGTGGGTGGTGATGGTATCTAATTGTGGCTCTGTTTGCATTTCCCTGCCAACTAGCGATGCTGAGCACCTCACTGGGTTGCTGGCCACTGGGATGACCTCTGCTGTCCCAGGGCTTTGCCATGTCTAATGGGTGTGCCCTGAACTAACCTGTCCCCTTCCTGGCCCTATCTTGTAGCGACAAAGGCTGCCTCCTTTCTGCCCACGCAGAAGCTGACCCTTCTCACCAAATCCATGGGCTTCTAGAAACCAGGGAAAGGCAGAGGCCATATTTCAAGAAATCCACAGGTTTCCACTTTCCTTTGCCTTTGCCCAGCTCCCATTCATCTGGTTCCAATTATAAAAGCCTGTGGATCAGTCTGAGTTAGGCCTTGGGGGTAAGGACTGTCACACAATGAACAAATATAGACCCCTCCTGATTCTTCACCAGGAGACTAAGAGTGCGTGAATGCATCCCAAGACATTATTATCATTAACATCATTATTAAAATAGATACGTTATTTTTCTTAAAAAAATAAAAAAAGGGGAACTGACCATTTAACCGCCTTCATGTTGGTTTTAGGCAGGGACTCCTAAATCATGAAGTCTAGGGTAGGGTGAAAATTTTTAAAATTCCTTTTTTTACAAGTGTGTTCACAACACTTAGCCTACCAAAAAGAGCAAGAGATCTATGTCTGAGACTCAAGTTCAGATGTGGAGGCATAATATTTTGCTACTCGAGTAGCAAACCCAAGTAGTATTAAATGACAGGTCATCCCTGTAGTTAAACAAACAAACCTAGTTGTACAAGGACAGAATCGTATGGAGGGAGGCATGACTTAATGGCAACATGAATGGCAGCAATGGGAAGAGGTTATGATTCTAGCTTAATAGGAATCAACAGAGAATTGTACCTGGAAAAATATCTAAAGTTACCTGAGGTTGTATTAAGAGAGGCATAGATTACAACACAAAGGTGGTGATGGATCCACGTGCTGAGAGAGATAAGCTGGAAAATGGGGAGGACTGGAACCATGTTACAGCAGGGAGGGTGGGAGGTTCTAAGGATGTTTAAGTTCAAGGAGAAAATCAGGGAGTGGTGATGTTCAAAGGGTTGTCACTTGGAAGAGGCAATTAAAAACAACTCAAGCAGGGGCTGAACATTATAGAGGGAATAAAGATACAGAAAGAAGGGCCTGAGGAGGTAGACTAACTGACCTCTGATAATCTACACAGTCCCACTTTTGCAGTCTAGACTCAGATTTGGGTGGGAATTCCTGTTCTGCCCTCATATTAGCTGTGCGGCTTTGGGAAAATTACTTTGCCTCTCTGATAAATTGGAAATCTCATCATCTGCTTCAGAAGGTCCTTAAGAGGATTAAGGCTGTACCACAGGTAAAACATCCCGCACCTGCCCCGCCCTCAGCAGCTGGACAGACCAGCTCAAAATGACCAGCACCCAGGAGTGAGATGCATGGAAACTGAGGGTTGGTGAAATTTTGTGCCCCTCGGCAACTCACTGCAGTGGCTCTCGGTGAGGACAGCCAGGTGTAGCCTTGGAGTGAAGGAAAACCCCTCACACGCCCTCCCCCCATGCACCCACCCTCTACAAACCCCCTCTCAGCTGCTCTGTCCTCTCCGATGAATGAACGAGAGCATCTGTCCCGTAAGCGCTAGAATCTACCATGGCTTAATTGCAGCTTTGCAAACATCTCTAACATTTTGGAATTAAAATGACTGAACATTCTAACGAGACCCAGGGTCTTAAGAAAAAACTTTGAAACTGGGCATTTGGGTTTTTTTTTTCCTCCTCCCACTCCCATTCCCTGATGAATTTACCCCAAGATATGGCTTAGCCTCCACGCATAGCTTATCAGTTGTGTGTCACTGAAATTTTTAGAGCTATAAGCATCCTGCCAAACATTCTCAGAGAAACTGAGGCCCAGGAAGATTAAGCGAGTTAGTGGCTAAAGTGAGATTAAAACTCAATGTCCTCTTCTGAGCCTGGCCTCTCTGGATCCCATGCTACCTGCCAGGGCACTCAATCCCAGCCTGGGGGTGGGGGTGGTGGGCGGAAACAAGGTTTTCCCAGCAGCTTAAAACATCTGGGGGCATGACAATCAATATTTTACCGGTTCATCAAAACCCCCATTATTTCCCTAGTGCATATGGCATGAAAAAGATACTACAAACCCAAATCCTTCAGAGTTGTCCCCACCCCCACTCAATGGGCATAATTATCATGCTCATGAAAAATAACTAGGATTCAGTAAAATTTCACTGATTCCTATTTTACTGACTAGGGTCAAAAGGATTCAGAATGATGCAAATTTGCAATGTTTCTCCTTCTTACTACACCTTCCACAGGGAGGGCGTATTATGTACGAAAGCAGAAATGTTCACATTGCAGAACTTTTAAGCCTTGGGCGATGTCATTTCTCCATACCTCTGACGTGCTAACTATGGATTATTAGTTATTAAGGTTTCAAGCTGAGAACTACCTGGGTGTGAGAATAAGGACTTAAAACTCCGATATGCACATATGTGGCAAAGACTGGAAGAAAGCTAACCCTAACCCTAACAATTAGAGCCTGGGCATCTTTGCTAAACTGTCTGGACATGAAATAACATTAAAACAGATTTTTTTTTTCCCCCAAAATGAGTAAGAGGGCACAAACTTCAAGCAGAGCAGGAGGGTGCAGAGTGAAAAGGAAAAGTCCCCAAGGGTAAGTGACCTCTGCCAGCCTTCTTGGTTTTCTCCTAGAGTTGTTCTATCCATAGAGAACAGGTGTGTGCTCATCTTTTTTTTGGTCCTCAATAACACTTGAAAGAAACAACCTGTACTTCCAACTGGCCTTTCTCCAATTAGCTTTCCTTTAGTGCCTGACAAAAGTCTTAGTGGCACATCTTAGAAATCGTATTCGATTGCTCCCTGCCTTGTAACACACCTCTGGATCGGATCGTGTGTTGCCCGCGGTAACGTTTGGGCCTCCTTCCGTAAGCAGGGACGGCAATAAAGGCCAGCCCGGCCGAGGACTTCCTGGTGACCCAACAACAAGCGTTCTCAAAGTGCAGCAACACGTCCGAGGCCACTCGCTCTCAGTGCCCTTGACGCAAACTGACCTCATTAATTATGATCCTGCTAGCCATCCGCAGTCGGGTCCTGGGCCCAAACTTATTGGTGATCATGATGCGTAAGCCCGCCTCCGGGAAGCTGAACTTGGGAGGGCTGGAGCTCATGACCTCGTCCACCATCACCACTGGGTTTTTGCTGTACTGAGGCTCCTCCTTCACTATATTGAGCACAAAGCCATGATTAGTGCCGAGATCTCCTGGGGACGACACCCCAGCGCTGGGCCAGCTGACTTCCCCTCATGCTGCAGACCTCCTGGGGCTGTGATCTTGGCCACTGCTGGGGAGCCTGGCTGAGCCCAAGGGGACTGCCTGCCAATGGGGAGTGTTAGCCGAGGCCCCGGGGTCCCATGCTACCGGACCACTCACGAGCAGGCGCTCCATGTCTAGCCCCTACGCCAGGTGATGCCCCCTCTTTTGGGGGCCCATCTTGACTAAGGTCTCTCAGTTCCTCATCTGCGCCTCACTGGGAAGCCCAGCTACAATTAAGACAGGGTCCCTGCCACCTCCCAGCCCATGACTGCGAGGGGACCTTTCTTTCCCTCTGTTGACAGAGGCTCAGATAAAACTTTGGATGTTGACAAGGACTCTCCAGGATGGAAAATGCTAGGAAGCACCAGAGAGGACTGGCTCTCAGCTTCCCACCAGGCTACCTGCTCTGTTTGAACAACCATCTCCACCTGGCAGAGAAGGACGTGTCTAACTGTGCTCTCCCCGAGGCAGGCAGTGAGGGTGAAGATGAGGCTCACAGGTGCTGGACGAGGCAAGAGAGACCCAAGGGGGAGAGCCTACTTGCTGAGGGCTGCTGGCCAAATCCAGTGTCTCTGATAAAACACACACCCTCCAGCAGGAAGGGGACTCTCTCTCACCCTTTGCTCCCCGCCGCCTCCTGCCCCCCGCCCTTGAGGCTGAAGAGTAAATGTCTCCAGGCCTCAGGCCTCTTCCTCGCCACCTTCACAGACTCGCTCAGGGTGGGCATCCTCGGGGGATCTGACATCTAACTCCAGAGCCCTGGGGAGACCAGGAATGGAACCACTCAGGAACACAGCACACAGAAGCAGGTGGAGTCTTCCCCTCCGGGGAGGCTGTCAAAGCAGATAGGCCCGTCCCTCTGCCCTGGTCACCAGCTCCGGGTGAGCAGCCTTTCCGGGCAGGAGTGGCCAAGCGCACACCCTCGTGAGAGTTAATGGCACCAACACGAACAAATGCACACCAGACACGCACACCCTCACCAAACAGGCAGCAAGGCTCAGCAGACAGGAGGCGTGGTGGTTAGAAAGGAAGCCAGGAGGCCCATGCATCTGTCGGGGACAGACGCTAACCTCCAAGGAGGCGTGCGCGGAGGCCCTGGTTGGTTTGTTTCCGTAATGCATGGGTTATCGCTTGGACGAAAGCAGATTACTTACAGTTTAGAAGAGAAGAGTTAAGGAGACAAAGGCCGACAGAGATTTGCCAGAGGTGATTAGCGTGCGGTGGACGCCGAGAGTTTGGGGCAGTATTCTTGATGGTGGCCAAGATGCCAGGGGCTTATTTGAAGGAGAAGTTAGTAGAGGGGTTCCTGCTACTGGGGGCTTCAGTGCTCGAGTCCCTGCTCGAAGCCAAAGCTGGATCCAGGGCCAAGGCAGCCTGGAAAGGTCCACGGTGAGCCTAGCCGTTAGCCCCAGTAGCCCGGGCTGTCAGGCTGTGTGCAACCAGCAAAGAGAAGCTGGACTCCCCACAGCGGTGGGAAACGGGGCGGGGGGGCGCCCTCCTCCTCTGCCCCGGGGACCTTTTCTTGGGGTACTGTGCTCTGCTTCCTTGAGCAGAACTCAAGTGTGATGTGAAAAATTTCTAAGACTTTTAGAAAAACCCAAACATCTGAACAAAGCTGGAGGATATTATTCCTTCCCACCCTCAAAACAACAACAACAACAACAAAAAATTGGCCTGAGAGGATTTGGTAAAAAGAACCGCATGACCTTTAAAGAACATTTAAGTACATAAAGGCATTTTACAAGAGTGGTAGTAACAAGGCCAAACACCTGTGAAGAGGCCAGGTTGAAAATTTTGATCTGACACGGGGAAACACCGAAACTGGGAACAGGCAAAGCCAGAGCTGTGTGTGTACGTTGGGTTCTTGACAGAATCCACCAGCTACAATCTTGGGCTTCCTCGGGTGGGTGGGAAGATGGGGACCCGCCTGCAGGCCGAGGAGCAGGGAGGGGAGCTCTGTATTGGAAAGATTCGTGACAACATCACCGCTAGGAGAGGCAAACTGCCGAGGCCCCCTTCTCAGTCCCTGCAGGGTTCCTGGGAGCTCCTTCCTCAGTCTATTTCTGGGGGGACAGCGCTTTGCGGTGACTTACACACAGGGCCCTCCACCAGCCAGGGCTATAAAATCCTGAAAGCCGCATCTCTGGGACTCCTACCTCTCCACTTCCAGTCCTGCAGCCTGCCCCCGCCAGATCTTTTTCTCCTTGGCCTTTATCTAAATGCCTTCTCCCTGATAAAACTTGGAGGGAGGCCTATCTTCCTCCTTTTCCTGTGTTTGGGTCGGGGGGAGGTTGGGCAGCCTTGTGTCTAATCTTCTAATTTTCTAGAAATTTTCCTGGACTTAGATATCCGGGGGAAAATAAGAGACCTGTGCGGGAGGTCCTACTGTCCTGGGTACCAAGTTGTGGAGCCAGCACCAGGACAGAGCTGTAGGAGAGGTCCCGCATGAGGCCACTACCCACGCAGCTGTAGGCGAGTAAGGGATGCTTCCCATGGGACCCTAGGGAGGGGCCTCCTCCATCGGCCACACAGGTGGTAGGTAGCTCTTGGGGCACCTGAGGAATGACCTTCTTTGCCGTGAAGGTCCTGAGGGCCCCAGAGCACTAATCTCTGGGTACAAGACTGGGCAGGACTCAGCCCCTGTCCTGAGACACTGTGTGTGGGGATGTGCGGTTGGGACCTCGGGGCCACTGTTAATCTGTGGAGCTAAAACGCAAACCAGCAGCCACATCCATCCCTCCCCTCTGAGGAGGTTGTCCTGGAAACGGGCTCTCCCCTGGGGTAGGCTGCTCGGCATTTTGGCAACAGGACACATGGATACAGCCCCAGGCTCTACAGGCCTCTCTCCTCTGACCATCAGGGACCGGCGTCTGGCAGCCGGGCCGTAACCATGACGACACTGGTACCCCCCCACCCCCCACCCCAGTGGGTTTCTTCTTTCTGTAAGGAGAGATTCATTCCTCCCTCAAGCACCTGTGAAGGGGGGTCCCTAAGATGGGACCAAATAAACTTGCCTGACGTCCAGGGGATGGAGGCCCTACCCCAGGGTGAGGGGTGTGAGGGGTGGATCAGGGTAGGGGCTCCATCCCCTGGACGTCAGGCAAGTTTATTCTGTGAGGGGCCAAGGAGGACAGATTTCAGCCCTCACACGTCCCAGGCCCCTGAGACCACCTGGGCTGTCCCAGACACCATGAAGGAGTTCAGGTCGCCTGAAAGAGGACCTGGCTCGCCCAGGGCCACGGGGAGCATGGGAGAAAGACCCTCACGTGGCCCATCCACCTGTCTGCTGCTGAAGAGGAATTAGGAACAGCCGCATCTGTTTTTCCTCAACCCTCAGTACAAGAACCTATTCCGGCCCTAACACTCCCTGGGGGCTTGGGTGGGGAAGAACAGAAACGTGCCCCTCTTGCTGGCAGCTCCCCCCGCCCCGCCCCCACACCGGGAATCACTGAGTAACTGGAGGGATTAAGATGCGGTTTCCAAAGCAGCAGCTGGTCTGGCCTAGCGGATCGGGGGACCTCTGCAGAGACAACACGCACTCGCTCTGCAGGCCCAAAACCCCAGGCAAGGGGGCCAAAGAGAAGCCGAGGACACAAGGCTGCAGCCCCTGGGCCAGGGCTCCCAAGCAGGGCTCTCGGGGGCCAGTCTGGGCATTCCTGCTCAGCTCCGTGGCTGCCCTCCTGGGCTTTGCCATTCCTCTGGGTGACAAGCCAGAGGTCTCTCCAGAACGGAGTTCTCCGCCAGAGCTGGGCCCGGTGTGTGAGAAATCACAGGGAGACCTGCGCCTGCTCTGTCACCCCAAGTCCTCAGCCTCCTGCCATTGGCCTTTTACAAGGGTCAGAGAGGTAACTCACTGCGATTCGGAGGGCTCTGAGCCCAGCAGGCCTGGAGCCTTCCTCGGGAGGCTTGGGGAAAAGTCCCCAGGGCGTGACTGTTGACTCTTGGTTCTTCTCCCTTCTATGCAAATGCAAATCTGAGCCACCTCTCCTCAGGGGCCAAAGGTAAGAGAGGGACAATTTTGGGGGGTGGCGTGGGCAGGAACAAGAAGGGGAGAGCAGTTTCAGTGACGTGGTTGGGGCGGCTCCTGTCTGCTCAGCCTTACCTTGCCCCAGCAATGGCATGGAGGGGTCATCAGAACTGCTCTCACAGTAATCATTACCATCCTCCAGCTCACTGTTGACCGTGTTGCCATTGGCAACGGCCTTTTGTTTGATGGTGAAAAAGGCCTGCATCTTCACATTGTACCTGCAAGTGAAGGCCGGAGGTCAGAGCTTTGGGAGACACCTGGCCGCAGTGGGCAGGTATCCCCACCCCCCAGCCCATGCACACACAGGCGGAAGCCCCTGGGAGTGGCCCGTGGAGCTGACAGTCCCCTAACAGGACCCCGAGAACATCGTGTGGCGGGGGGGGGGGGGGGGGTGGCACAAGGAACCTCTGGTCCAAGAACACGACCCATGCCTACTTATGCCCGTCCCAAGCCTGTCCTCATAAAGGAAGTTCAGGCCAGCGTCAAGGGCAGGCTCCAAAGAGGTGTCACCAGGCTGGTCCTCCCTCCCACAGCTGCAGGTCCTGCCCCCATGGGCTGCCCGGCGGGCCATGCCTGCACCCCTCCTAGCCAGGCACACCCCCCACCCCCCAGAAAAGATACCGTCTCCAGCTTTGACCCCAGGCCGCCCGCCTCACTGAAAGAGAGCAAGCGGTTCACGGGAGGACAAGCCTCCTGCCCTTGGACAGGTGATCACCCATTTTCACAAAATACTATAAACATTTGATATTAATGTGGGGCTTCAGAGTCTCCTCAAACTCAGTGTTGCTTTTACCTCTTTCTGGGGATGTGGACAAGAAGACAAAACCTGAAGAGGACTCAGCTCAAGGGGGTGTTTTTTTTTTTATTGTGGAAAAATTGGGGGGACATAAAGTTTGCTATTTTAACTCTTTTTCATTTTTAAGTGTCTAATTCACTGGCATTAATCACAGTTCCAGAACATGTCGGGTGACCATCAGCATAATTTCTGTCGGGTTGCAGCATCGAGAACAATTCTGTGTGCCCATTCATCAATTAACCAGTGATCGGCCCCTCCCCCAGGCCCCCTGGTAATCTCTAACTTACTATCTCTATGGATTGGACTCTCCTGGCTACCCTGCCTAAGTGGAATCATACTATCTTTGTCCTTTTGCGACTGGCTCCTTTCACTTCGCATGCTTGCAGGGCTCATCCCTGTTGTAGCACACGACAGAAGTCCCTTCCCTTTTTAGGGCTGAATAATATTCCTCACGGGCTCTTTTGAGATCACGCTCACCCAGGCAGTTTTGGAATTGCCGCTTGGGTGCACATCCCTGACCCACCATCTGCACCTTCCTTCCTGAGTGACGCCCCCTGCAGGTGGCATTGTACGAAGCCTGGCACAGAAGTGAGGCAGCCTGGCTCTTTAAGAAGAGCAGTATTACATGATCGGGAGAGTTACAGCGCCAGTGAGAAAGAGCGGTCACCCAGGGCAGGGAGGAGCCACGGGGAAAGAGGTCTTGCTTGCCATCTGTCTTGCAGCATCCTTACCCTCCACCCACCAGCCCTGTCTCCTCTGGTCCGGACAGCACCCCCCAAACAGTGTCTGAGCACCCCAGCGGGTACCCTCCAGAGAACCGGAACTGGCTGGAATAGATGACAGCTGGTCTGTCATCAATTTTGTCTGGGCTCTAGCAAAAGGCTAGAGCAGGAAGCGGAACGAGGCATCAGACTGCCCAGCGGGAGAAGAGAAAAAAGCTACTTACTTCATGATCAGAATGTAAAACGCATACAAGATGATGAGCACCAGTCCTTCCCACCTCAAAGAGAGAACGGAGACTGTGGTTAGGGCTAGGGGTGCCTGGGGCCTGGGACTGACAGCTAGGCAGCAGGGAACAGGGCAGGAGGTCCTTTGACCCTCCCCGGCCCCCGCGCCAGGCATGTAGGGGAGGCCCCCCAGCCTGTGGCCAGCTGCCATGTGAAGCTCTCTTGGGGACAGAGAAGGTAAGGGTGGGTTCTTCTCAGAGACAGGGGATCTGCAGGGCTCAGGCAGCATTCCCACAGGTACCTAGAAAACAGAGGGACCAGGACCACCCCATCCAAGGATCCACAGTGGGGAGTGACCTGGAGTCATACCAAATTGGTCCTAAGAGACCTGTAAGCTCACCCGAGATTCTGGCCTGGGACCAAAAAGGCTGTGGGTACAGGTGGGAAAGGGCCCAAAGAACTGTCTGGAGAAAGGGGCCAGCACAGGAGCCTGCAGAGCTGAGCACTGGGGCAGGGCGGGGCGGGGGCCTTCCTGGATGCACATCCAGCTATCCAGCAGATGAGGCGCCCAACCCCCCATGCGGCCAGGATCTTTGCAGCTCAGACCACAAGCCTCTGAGGAGCTACCCAGCTTAATTTGTCTGGTCATCTGACAAACGTGTGCTGAAGGCCTACTATGTGCCAGGCACGAGCTACGGTTGTTTCAGGAACTCTCCCTCTGCTGACAGAAGCTGCAGCCCAGCAGAGCTACAGAGAGACTTGTAGATGACCCCGCTACCGCCACCCCCACTCCACCTAGGCAAAGGAGACCCCTGATGAGGAGAGGCTGCCTGGCTCACATGGTGGGTTAGGGGCCAGGGAGCGGGGTGTGAAAACAAGTTTCTCTGGGCCCATAGCACCTGGCTGCTCAGCAAGGCCTCCTGAGCACATTCCCACAAATAGACACCGATGGGATGCGGACTCGGAATCACTGTCATGAAGAGAACATTTCTATGGTCTATGGATGTAGGATACACATATACAGTGAATACACCCATCTTCCCTTTCAAGTTTCTGCTTTATGTATCTTAATTAAGGAATCATTTCCTATCTCGAGGTTATAAAGGTGAGTCCTGACATTTTATTCTGTTTAACTTTGCTTTTTACAGTGAAAGCTTTAGTGCTTTTTAAAAAGATTTTATTTGAGAGAGAGAGAGCGAGCGAGCAAGCACAAGTGCAGGGAAGAGGGAGAGAGAGAAGAGACTCCCCACTGAGTAGGGAGCCCAACACGGGACTTGATCCCAGGACCCTGAGATCATGACCTGAGCTGAAGGCAGATACTTAACCAACTGAGCCACCCAGGCGCCCCAAAGTGAGATCTTTAATTCATCTGGATTCTCTTCTTGTATAAGGTGTGAGGAAGGGATCTGACGTTATTTTGTTCTGTATAGACCCCTAGTTTCTCCAGCAGTATCTGAGACCCTCTCCCTAACTCACTGCCTGTCGTGACACCTGTCATATCCCCCGGCCAAGAAATGGGCCCGTGACTGGGTTCTTGATTCCACAGTCCATTTTGGCCTACGTTTATCCCAGTGGAAAAATGCCATACCGTTTTCATTATTCTAGCTTTATAATATACTTTGTTATTTGGTAGAGCAGGAACACTGAGGGAAACAATCTTTGTCACTTTGAAAGGATAAAGGTGCGACTGCTTAGAATGATGCTTTTTACTTTCACAAGTGCACAAGCTCATGTTTGTAAAAATAATCTCAAAAAAGTTTCAACGAACCCAAAGAGGAAGGATAGGACCAAAAAAGGAACAAGAAACAAACGTTTAAAACTTACCACACAATTTCTTCATCATATATGAACTGGAAGGCAAAAGAAACAAAGGGTGGGGGACATATTTATTCCAAAAGAACACACACAGACCCTTAAGCACTCAGAGCTCACACACAGTGCCTTGTTATTTTTACACAAAGCTGGGCTCCTCTCTCCATTTCTGGGTTTCTCAGTGGCAGGTGACCTCTCCTTAGTCGAAACCCATCCCAGCAGATGCGACCGTGTGTGGCTCCAGGTTAGCGTGGGCCTTCCAAGAGAAATGGCCCATGCTTCATTACGCTCCAGGTCACGGATGGGGCCAGCCTGGCAGACGCACAGACTTGCTGAAATCAACACTCTTAAAAACTGAAAGACACCCATCTGTTTGTCTCCCTACGGTACCTACCTATCTATGGTACTCGTGTATATGGGAGGGAAGGGATTTTTTTTTTTTTTTAAGATTTTATTTATTTGAGAGAGAGTTAGAGCATGAGCAGGGGGGAGGGGCAGAAGGAGAAGCAGACTGCCCACTGAGCAGGGAGTCCAACTCAAGGCTCGATCTCAGGACCCTGGGATCATGATCTGATCTGAAGGCAGATGCTTAACTGACTGAGCCACCCAGGTGCTCCAAGGGATATTATTTTCTTTAAATAGAGAGTAACCTCTTTGGAGATTCTAAGGGCAAAGGACCCACTTGTACTATTTGAAGAGAGCCCCGGGCTGATGGTGGGGATGCACAGTTTCTGCAGAGGGCACAGTCCTTGCCCCACAACCCCACCCAGAATCTTGGGCACAGACACAGGTGAATGATGCCCCTGTGGTCCAGGGGAGGAGTCCTGGGAGCACCACCAGCCAGGCCCAGTGTGGACAGGAAGGTAGAAGGCTACACCCACCAACTGATCTTGGAGACCAAGGGGCCCTGCATAGGATGCGAGGAGAAGCCAGGGGACCCACGGTGCCCCTTTCCTGGCTGTCATGGCGGGCAGCACACGTGGGAGCTGCCATGGGGAGGCCATTTCTGAGAGGGGTCATCTTGGCTGGGCATCACCGTGAGGCTCCCCAAACTCCAGGCTCTGGGGGAAGTACCACTCAACAGAGAGGTGCCCAGTGCCCGCCGTGGGGAACGTGAGGACATTTGAGGGGGATGTTTTTAGTTTATACAGCCCAGTGGAGGGCTACTGGCATTTAGAGGCAGGGTGCTGGCCAGGTGCTGACCAAGCTAGAACATGTGAAATACGTCTATCAGAAGGTTTTCCCACATGTGGCACACATCTTATTTAAATGTCTGGCTAAATATTTAGGCAAGTGGTGGGGCAGCGGGGAGGAGGGAGACCTGAGCCCAAAACTTAACTCTACTGTACAAATCAAAGTACTTTTACACAGTTTTAATAAATATGTAATTCTCCAGTGAGGTAGCTATCATGCAAATGGAGGGGCAGGGGGACTTGGCTCTGCCTAGCGGTTTATCCGGGGTCATTCATAATTTTGGAAAATCATGTCATCAATGTCGGCACCACTCACGGGGTCCAAGGTGCCCACCCCGCACCCGGCCTTCAGTCTGTGCAGGTAGATTTCAGGCTCAGAGATTTTTCCATATGGGGCAATGGGTTACATCATCCGGGGTTCTAGCATCTTCTTGCCAAAACATTTACACACTGAAAGATGTATTCTTTTATTATAAATGACTTTTGTCTTTGATAGTTTGGGCATCATATTGATTCTTTTTTTTTTTTTTTTTTTTTTTGAAACCGTGTACAGGTGAATTATTTTATCTGTAACTTTCGTTTTCAGGATTGTGGTAGGCAGGGGTCCCAGTTGTCTCAAATGGTCCCAGTAACCCTCTGCCTGACATGCATGCCACTGCACCTGTATCTACAGCCTGGACCTAGGGACTGGCTTCTAACAAACAGAATATGGCAAAAGTGATGGGTTATCACCTCCTAGATTAGGTTACAGACTCACTTCCACCCTGGCACCTTCTCACCCTTGCTCTGAGGAAAGCCAGTTAGCGTGGTGAGCGCTGTACTGAGGAGCGGCTGGCCAGGAAGGATTGGAGGAGGCATATCTGCAGCCCCACCAGGGATCCCCAAAGCGGATCCTCTCCCAGGGGAGTTGTATACCCTGGCCAACATCTGTGAGAAGCCCTGAAGCAGAGGACGCAGGTAAGTCACCCCCAGATTCTGATCCATAGACAACAAGAGCAAGAAATACTTGCTGGTTTAGGCTGCTGAGTTTGGGGGAAATTTGTTACACAGCAATAGAGAATTCATACAAGGGATGGGACTGCCCTATACAGTTGGCTCTAGATCTTGTAAGGTTGAGAACAGTCTCTCTGGGGCACATTCCAGAAAATCTGGGCACACCATGTGCATCTGCCCTCATGCCACCACTTCAGTTGAAATGGCTCCCCTGTGGATGGCACACTCCTCGGCAGTAGCCTGCGTCATATGCTTCAATGTCGTGTGCCATGATGTCACCCTAGCCCTCGGGGGACCACAGGGATAATCCCCCTCTTCCCCCCCATACTAACAGACCCTAGAAATCTCTGTTCCAGCTCTTCTGCCTTTCTCCTGTTCTCCCAGGTGCCCACAATGCCTGCCTCTAACCAGCCTCTCTCCTGCTCTGCAGTAAGCGGTGAACCCAGAAACTCTGATTCTCAGGCATCGGGCTCTAAGTGAGGCTCTGAGGGCCCCTGAGGAGCAAAGTGCTTGAACTTAACCGCTCGGACCATGTGACACATGCTTTGACGTTTCCAAGGCCTTTTTGAATTCAAGGTGGTCCCTGGATTTGCTCCATAATCAGGGTGTCAGGTATGAGGTTTTCAGGCAGGGGAGGCACGGTGGCAAGGGGATGAATCAATTATGGCGCTGGGGACAGAGACAGGCAGGGGTCCTGTGCCCGCACATGGGCAGGGGGTAACTCACAGCAATGAGCACGATGACAGAGAGGGTGTAGTACACGGAGTCTCGGCACACAGCCCACCACGTCAGACGGACCACCTGCCAAGCAAAGGGCTGTCAGCTGCTGCTGGTTGGGGAGACTGGGGCGGGGGGGTTGGTGCAGGGAGTGGCTTTCTCGCCACCCCCTGAGCCCTGCAGGTGCAGGTATGTGCCCATGGAGCTCCTCCTAACTGTGCCACCAGAAACAAATCTTTCCTGGCTGCTCAAGGCCGCCCAGTGTTCTTCACTATATTTGGGGAACAGAACAAAAGTACAGAATGTTTGTACGTGATGGCCAAGCTCCTTCAAGGTAACATCTCATATCTCACAGCAGAAGCCCAAGGTCAAGGCAGAGGCCAGAAGTACTTGCTTTCCCCCTGATGCTGGAAGTTTCTGGTGGTAAACTAGCCACACACCTCTACCTCCCTTGGCCAGGTAGGGCCTACTCATGAGTCTCACTCTCTGAGGGTGAGTCTAATGTCCCCACAGCCCTGACGACCAGGAAGATGCTGATGGGGTATCAGCAACAGGTCAGCTTCATGCTCCTTGCTAAGGAGGCCAAAGGCAGGCCTCAGATATTTCCAGAATCTAGCTCAGGGTCAGGGTTATAGGAGGTGCTTCTCAAAGATCTACTGCTACTGAGTGAACGCTCACCCTCGGCCCGGACAGCAGAGCCGACACTGTCCTGCCCTCAGATCCACTGGTGCGGGATGTGGAAGGAACGTCAGACGCCACTTGTACCCATGAGGACCTGGGCTCGGAAGAGGAAGCTGACTTGCTCAGCCTCATTCAGTCGAGGGCGCATCTAAGGGGCGGCCCTGGGTTCCCCCACTGCTGTCCCTTAGATCACTCTACGAAGGGAGACAAACCACTGACCTGCCCCGCGAATAATCCACAAACGCCAATTATGCACAAGATGTTGAACACAGCAGAGCCCACGATGGTTCCAACTCCAACGTCTCCGTGGGTGATGAACACGCCTGGAACGGGAAAGGTGGAAATCCTCCTGGGCCTGCCCTGCCCCCGACCCAGGCTGCTGTGAGGTCTGTGTCACCAGCCCCATGGATGGAGGGAGTTGTTCTTACCACCACAGTGCCTGTGGGGCTGAGGGGGACGGCAAAACCAGAGAGGAGACAGTGTCCTGGGGACCAGCTACTCCACTCCCCGTTTTTTTTTTAATAGCTTTATCGAGATATAATTCACATGCCATAAAACTCACCCACTTGAAGTATATAATCCAGTTTTTTGGTATAGTCCCAGAATTGTGCAACCGTCACCGCAATCTAATTTTAGAACATTCTTTTTTTTTTTTTAAGATTTTATTTATTTATTTGAGAGAGAGAGTGAGAGCGAGAGCGCGCACAAGAAGGGGGAGGGGAGAGGGAGAAGCAGGCTTCCCCCCCAAGGAGGGAGCCCGATGCGGGGCGCGATCCCAGGACCCTGGGATCATGACCTGAGCCGAAGGCAGACGCTTAACCAACTGAGCCACCCAGGCGCCCTTTTAGAACATTCTTATCACCCCCAAAAGGAACCCTCTCCCCACCCACTCTTCACTCCACCACATGCCCCAGGGAACCGCTACCTTCTGTCTCCCCAGCTCTCCCGTTCTACAGTTGAGAAAACAGAGGCTCCGAGCTGACAAATGCCCTCACTGGTCAGGTGAGGGGGGGGTCTAGACCCTGGGTCCCTGGCCGGTGGGATTTCTTACCAATAACGGAGGCAAACAGCTCGGGCGTCGAGCTTCCTGCAGCCATGAAGGTGGCTCCGGCGACGTCTTCGCTCAGATGGAGCTTCTGAAACGGAAGTGACCACAGACACTCAGGCTGGGAGGTGGGGACAGCGGACACACTCAGCGGACACTCCTGCGGCCCCAGAAAGCGTGGGGAAACTGCTGTGGCCTGAGCGGGCCGCGTCACCTCCTGGCACCCCGAGCCCACACCTCCCGCTACTCTGTCGGCCACCCCACCCGGAGTCCCCTGTCCCCCTCCCCTGTCAGTTTCTGCTCACTCTCCAAGCCCCTAAATGAGGTCTCCTCTCTAGGGGTACACCCAGAGCCACCTGTCCCCTGGGACAGGTGAAAGAGTCTGGTCCTCCAATTAACGAAGCGCAGATCACCCAATGAGGGTCCGAGGATTATGCCCTTGCCTTCCCCACCAGACGATGAGGACAGGTTGGCCTTTTTTTCGGCCTTGGGTTGCCAGCACCTAACACAGAGTCTGGTACGCAGTGGTGCTCAGCAAGGAGCCACCTCCAGGGCCCACGCAGACCCTGGGTACCACGCAGACTTCTCCAGGAACCTGGAGGTCCCAGATGCACAGTCTGGCCCTTGCATTCCAGAAGGCTTTCTCCATGGCAGACCCAATGCACAGCTGCTCACGGAGACGAAGACCCAGACATCCTCTCTCAGGGGATGAGGCAGCATGAGGTAGGGCTGGAGCTCTGTCAAGACACACTCTGCTTGGCAAGGCCGTGCTCCAGCCACAGAGGCCAATCCTCTGATCAAGAACATGGTGCCGGGGGCTTTGGATGTTGGGAGAAACCACAAAGATTCTGGATCTCCCTGAACACCAACCTGAAGACACCTTCTCTGTGGTGCTCAGAAGGTGTCTGGGCAGGGCTCGGTCTCCTCCTGCATCCACCTTCCAAAGTACCCTGGGCAGCCTGGGGTTAGCACAACCTCCCTGCTGACCTTGCTATAGGAAGGGGTCCCTCAGAGGGGTCGGAGCTCTGGACTTCTGTCAAGCACTGACCCCCCAGGGCAGAAGCCTGACCACCCTAACCTCATCAACCAGGAGAGGGTTCCACAGAAGATGATCTGCCATCAAAGCATCTCTAGTATCTTCTAGCACAATACAAACCATGCTACATCCTGTTCTGTCTTTGCCTGGGCTACTCCTTCCTCCTGGAACACCCTTCCCTGCCCTCTCTGCTTGGAGAAATCCTCACCACTGCGCAACCTTGGACCAAATGCCACTTCCTCCATGAAGCCCTCCTAGGCTTCTCCCCAACAGAGACACTGCATCCCTCCTTTAGGCTCTTCAGTCCTTTGATGGCTCTCACTGAGCCCCTTCTAGGGGATTTGCCCATAGATCCAGGAAAATCCCCTCGCTCACGTCTGTGTCCTTACAGAGACAGGTAACCTGGAGGCGCACTTCCACTGGGCACTGTCCTGTGCATTGGTCGCCCATCCCCAGAGGACATTTCCTGATTCTCTCCTTACGCTCTTTGGCCGGCTCAACTTACTCATTGACCCACCGTTCGGTCTGAGCCGGTGAGAGGTGGAGAGGTGAGCAAAGAGAGACAGGGGGAGGGGAAGGCCTTTGCACACCTCTGTCACATCCCTCACTCTTCAGGAGGCCCAGGTCAAAAAGTCCCTCTTCTGTGCTTAGCAGCATGGAAGCACCTGTCCTAACCAGCTCTGTCTCTGGCTGCAGATGTCACAACAACAACATGGCCTCAAACAGCTGAGAGATTTCAAGGGGACAAAGTGTGCCAAAGCCCAGAGCCATCTGCACATAGTAGGTGCTGGAAACAGAAGTAGTTTTCCTTCCTTGGTTAGAAGCCAAAGGTAAGGCAGAGCAGAGAGACACACTGGAGCCTTTTTTTTTTTTTTTTTTTTTAAGATTTTATTTTTAAGTAATCTCTACACTCAACGTGGGGCTCGAACCCACAACCCCAAGATCAAGAGTTACATGCTCTACCAACTGAGCCAGCCAAGCGCCCCAGCACTGGAGTCTTGCATGTGAGGAGAGAGAAGACAAGAAAGTCAAAAGTTCACAAAACAATTAGAAGGAGAAAATGTCAGCCTGCAAACATTGGACCAAAGGGTATTCCCTGCTCAGCCTCGGCACCCTCCTCCAAGACACAGATCCCCACCTGTACCTGCCACCTGCTGCTTCGGGAAGCCAGAGGTTCTGGGTGCTGACTGCCCACCAGGAGCCTTTCTTCTGCCAAATCGGGGAGAGGACACCCTCTGCCAACTCTACTCTAGGGCTTTCAAAGCCAGGCTTTGCCGTGGCCACACTAAGCGTGTGGCCAATCACCACCAGACTGCTCCCTGCTTGGTCCTTCTCAGTCTGGCCCTGACGTGTCCTATGTCCTGGGTCGCCCCAGGTCCCCTGCCTCCCTGCCCGGCTTTGCTGTGGGATCCCAAGTCCCCTCTACATACCTCACAGATCTTCTCTAGAGACGGAACAAAAAAGTCATCGCAGACTATGGCCAAGGCGTAGAACATGTACAGAGCCTGAGGAGGAAATGGGGGAGATCGTCAGCGAAGGCACCTGCTGCCGAGGAGGCACGGCCGGCCAGCTGTCGTGCCCTGAACCGGGCAGCCATCACCTGGCCAAGGCAGAGGCTAGATGCATGGAGAGAGACACAGAGGAAAATTCCAACACCAGAGAGACTTGCTCCCTCAATCCCCTCACAAGCAGACGGGGAAACTGAGTCCCAGGGAAGGGAAATAACGTGCTGGGCAGCAAAGGGGATGAGAGCTCAGGCCACGTGGTCTTGGGCTCCTTCCTCTCTTTGTAAAGCACCAGCTCTCTCCCCGGCACCAGAGTCTGCTCTTGAAAGGCCAGATCTAACACTCAGGGCTAAGAAGGAAAGCATTTAGAATCACCATTTTAAGAGTTTAAAATGAGAACAAGCCTGATCTTCCCCCTTCATTTTTAGTGAAGGCACCATTTCCTTCTTACCACCCGGCCACCTCCTTCTGGAATGAATGGCAGCTGGAGAGCCAGCAATTTCTGGAATACTACCTAATGTTGGCAAAGGTTAAAATACACAAGCCATTCACACATGGAGGTTCATGGAACGAAGAGTCCAGATTCTACTGCTGATTCTAGGACTGATTTGCCATGTGACTTTGGATAAGTCACATCTCCAGGGCTCAGTCTCTTCATCTATCTGATGACAGAGTAAGAACAGATCAGTAGTTTTCAAATGGTTTTATATACAGAACCCCTCCCTGTCCTGTTCATCCAACATGGTTTCACTGAGCTCATCCTATGGGCATCAGGGATCCATGGTTAACCTGCCAGGAAATGCCTCTGCATCCTGTAACTGACCTTAGTGGGGCAAATAGGCAAATAACGTGTAACTGTTGGGGAAAGGCCAGTGCAAAGGTCCTGAGGTAGGAGTGTGCTTGATGCCCTTGAGGAATAGCAAGGTGACTAATGCAGGTAGACCAGAGTGAGACTGAAGTGGAAAATAGAGGATATGAGGTTGGAGGGACGGGCCAGGCCCAGAGCCCATGGACAGATGGGACTTTGTGTGCTAAATGCCGAGGGAAGCATTTCTTTCTTCAAAGACAAAGTGATATGGATGCTCCGCTCACAAAAATGGGAAGGGCTGGGCTGCTTCAGCAAAAACAATTGTGAGGTGGTTGGAGTAGCACACTAATGAATTGTGATTAAATAAACTGGAAGATGTATCAGCTGTGGCCAAGGCCTCTAAGGCAGGTGTCTACTGCAGTCGAGGCACGGCTGTCCCTGGATCTGACTCACTACCTTTTGGCGGGGGGGAGCAAAAAGAAACAAATACTAGGGGTTATGGGTGAAGGAGAGAGAACGAGGGGAGAGAGATCCTGCTATAAAAATCTCAGGATACAGACTTGAATTCACACCCCCAGAAGCTCCCCCAACATCATCTTCCAGGCAAAGGGAGGCCGTAGCTCTCTTCATGGCCTTGGAAACACTTGAGAGAAAAGGAGGTCAAGACGGTTCCACACTGCTCTGGCAGGGCAACTGAGACGCTTCCTAGCACTGCAGACAAAAATGGCTCCAGGGGCGCCTGGGTGGCTCAGTCGTTAAGCGTCTGCCTTCGGCTCAGGTCATGATCCCAGGGTCCTGGGATCGAGCCCCGCATCGGGCTCCTTGCTCTGCGGGAAGCCTGCTTCTCCCTCTCCCACTCCCCCTGCTTGTGTTCCCTCTCTTGCTGTGTCTCTGTCAAATAAATAAGTAAAATCTTGGGTGCCTGGGTGGCTCAGTCGTTAAGTGTCTGCCTTCGGCTCAGGTCATGGTCCCAGGGTCCTGGGATCGAGCCCCACATCGGGCTCCCTGCTTGGCGGGAAGCCTGCTTCTCCCTCTCCCGCTCCCCCTGCTGGTGTTCCTGCTCTCGCTGTGTCTCTCTCTGTCAAATAAATAAATAAAATCTTAAAAAAAAAAAAAAGGCTCCAAAGCTTGAGCCTTTTCTTGCTCTTAAAGAAGGGGTCAGCAAAGTTTCTCTGGAATGGTCAGATAGTAAATGTTTCAGTCTTGACAGGTCACAAGGTCTCTGCCACAATGACTCCACAGCCATAGAAGAGAACATGGAGGGGGTGTGGCTGCGTTCCAATAAAACTTTATTTATAACATCAGGAGGTGGGCTAGATTTGGCCCTCTAGGCATCGTTTGGCTAATGTCAGCTCTAAAGGGCTCTGGCAAAATTCCTGAGGTGTTCTCAGGTTCAGGAGAAAAGGTTTTGTCTTGGGAAAGTCAAGCAACGCCAAGACTTTCCCAAAGCAGAGCACCAGAACTATGGGATTAATTCGCCAAACCCACACCCTCTTCGTGAAAGAGGAGGGCGTGGGAAAGCCAGAGGAGCTAGGAAGATAACAACTCTATTACGGAAATACACAGGCCTGTCACTCAATATTTGCCTACAACCTTCATTTTCATTAATGGTTTATCCTGTTAATTAAAACTTCACTCACTCACTCATTCTCAGGGGGCTACTATCTCTGCGAGAATCCTAGCTTTCGCTTTCTGAATTATCTCTTGCAAAGACTAATCCTTGGTGGGGCTTATAGAAGCAAATGGTGCTGGGTGGTTGGGGAACCTAATTAGAGGAAAATTTGCCGTGTCCCAAGTAGAAAAGCAAATCGCGAGCACTTTCGTTTCTCCACGCCACACAATAGGGCTGGCAAACTTTTTCTGCAAAGGGACAGACGGTAAATATTTTTGGCTCTGTGGACCACATCACTGCGTTACAACTACTTTGGGACTGAAGCACAAAAGCAGCCGCAGAGAACACAGAAATGATGGGGACGGCCGTGTTCCAATAAAACTTTATTTACAAACACCAGCAATGACTTCAGGCTGCACTTTGCTTACTGCTGACAGAGAAGAGCAACTTTTGCCTATAATTTAGGTTTGGACCCGCTATTTCTTTTTGAATTGGTATTTGAATTCCACCTTTTGTCCACCAAGGCTCATCTGAAGACAGGGAAATTTGAGAAGGAGTGCACCAAAGTTTTAAACTATAGTTATGTCAAGGTGGTGAGATTTGGGATGGGGGTGGGGGATCATGGGAATCATGACAGCAAGCACGCACAGAGCACTTCTTACATGTTTTGCAACATCTGGTGCACTTTACTCACACATTCACACCTGTTCACACATCTGGGAAAGATGCTGTCACTCCCTTTTTATGAAAGCAGAAAATGGGGCCCAGGAAGACTTGAAGTCCTGTCTTGGCTCTTGAGGTCACTTGCTGTGCAACACAGAGCCAGTCACCCGACATCTTTAAGATTCTGGGTTTTGGGCGGTTAAAACGGGTCTAGCGCCTGTTCTCCCAGGTACCGTCTTACGAGGATGGGACATCGTTGACACACTCCGGCTCAGCCGGGCTCTGCAGACACACTTCACCTGTATGTGGTGTAGGAACAGCCCATCCCACCCGGGCCACTTACACCGAGGATATGCAGCAGGACGGCTCCGTGTTGTCGCTCCTTGTTGGAGAACAGGTCTGAGGGGAACTCGTGAATCGCTGGAAGACAAGAGGACACGGCAGGGTGTGAGTTGTCAATGGGCCTCGTGATGGCCCCACCGGCAGCGTGAGTCCCCTGTGGACTGTAGAACTTGCTAGGCTTTGGACTTCCCTGGGAGGGGGCCGGCCAGCTACCACTCCGGAGCCCACGGCACGCCCAAGCTGTCCGGAAAACATCGCCGAGTACTGGATTATCCACAGACGTTCTAGAAACTTGGGGTTGATCAAATTTAACGTATCCCTTGCAATTTTTCTTAAAGTATCGAAACACTTCCTACCCACTAGGATGGCAGAGAGAAATAATAACAAATATTAGCAAGGGCATAGAGAGGTTGGAGTCCTCACAACTGGCCGGGGGGTGGGGGTGGGGGGGCACAGATGCTGTGGAAAGACAGTCTGGCAGTTCCTCAAAGGGTTAAACATCTAGTTACCACATGACACAGCAAGTCTAATCCCAAGTATCCGCCCAAGAGAAGTGAGAACATGTCCACACAAAGCTTGCACAGGGATGTTCATGGCAGTGTTATTCATAAGCGCCAAAATATGGAAACAACCCAAACATCCACCAATGAATGAGTGGATAAATAAAACGTGGTCTAGCCATACAAGGGAATATTTGGCCACACAAAGACAAAACACGGACACATGCTACAACACGGAGGAACCCTTGTGAAGGAAAACACGATGCTGAGAGGAACCCGTCACGCAGGGCCACATATTGTAAGATTCCATTAATATAAAATTCCAGAAGAGGCAAATCTAGAGAGATAGAGGTAGATTAGTGGTTGCCTAGGGCTGGAAGGCAGGATGGTTTGGGGGATAACAGTTAAAGGGTGCAGGGTTTCTTTCGGGGTTCATGAAATCGTTCTAAAATTGTGGTGATGTTTGCACAACTATGAACATGCTAAGAGCCGCCCAGTTATAAACCTTAAATAGGTGAATTGTATGGTATGTGAATTCTACCTCAATAAAGATGTTACTGGAGGAAAAAAAAAAAAGTAAAAAAATGTCAAAATACACCCAAGAGAGAAATCAGGGGATGGTTCCTCACTTTGTCAAAGGATTCTGATCACGTTCCCAGCAGAGAGTTGGGAGTCCCAAGTGGCTTCAGTGCCTACTTGGATCTATTACAAACGCAGTCCCTGTCGACAGTCCGGTTGAGGCTGGAGACGGTCAGTCCCACTCAGGAGGGCAGGTTCTCTGCAGTCACACTGCCACGAGGTTCAGATCCTGCCTCGAATGTTTGCAGCCGTGTCTACAAGGACAGTTCCTTAACCTCGGTGTACCTCAGTTTCATCATCAGCAAAATGGTGAGACTGACTAATAATATGCCTTACTTTTTAAAGCATTTCCAGCCTGTGGTGAATTTCAAACGTGCCCTCCTAGGATTCTGGGATAGGATTCCCTTGCCACTGCGAGGTCAGAATTGAGAAGCAGGCTCATCCCCTCACACCGGAGTCATTTCTGGACCCCTGTGTATCCCCCAGAGCTCAGGGACAGGTGTTCTCCGGCAAAGCACTTTCAGCTTCTCCCAGGCCCACCGGCCCCTCCTCTCAACCTCTCCTCCTGCCCATGATGGATCTGTCACTCCAGACGGGGAAGCCAAGATCCCCAAAGAGGTCAAGTGACATCGGCCGTGTTGGGGATGGCAGTGTTGGCACGAGGAGGAAAAACTCTTGTCCCCCAGCTGGGTGCACTCCCGTGGAACCACACACATAGGGAACACCACCAATGGGAGTGAGGCTCCAGGTGAGTTTTAGAGCCGGGCCCCAGGCTGAGACGCAGCAAGGTAGGGAATGAGGGCTGAGAGCACTGGTCCCCGTCCCCTTATCCGCTGGATCCCTCAGGCACCAAGTGTGCCACCACCAGCATTCCGCCATCTTGGGTCATCGAGTACCATGTCACAGTCCCTCCTTTGGCCCCAGGAAGGCCCCTATTGGGCTGTTACCACCCACCACTCCTGTTATGGGCTCTCATCATCCTGGACGATGGATGGCCCTGTGATGTGCAGGGCTTTCTGTATTAGGAATCAAACACTCAGCTTTGGGGGTATCACCCTTGACACTCCCGAGGGATCTGAGCAACTTCTTGGGCCTCAAAGTTCACAGGCAATGAAGGAACAATGCCTTCTCACTCCACTCCCCAATTCGAGATGAGTGATGGAGGAGTACTTTGTGAAGGTCATTTCTGCAAGTCCCCAGTTGGACGCTCCCACAGCCCCACATCTTCATCCCATCAGCTAGACTGGAAGCTTCTGGAAGGTGGGGATCCACACTGCCCTGTATTACATCCTCTGTGCCTTCACCAGGCCTGGCACACAGCGGGTGCCCAAAACACTGTAACAGTCAGTTGAACTAAAAAATGGTAAAATACAAATAAAAATACCCATCTGTATCTTCTCATCCTATCAGAATGCTCTCATTACCCTCATAAACCGCTTAAGCCCCTAGAATGACACCAGCTTCATGGTAGGTGCTGCATAAATGCTCGCAAAGAAACTTCCAGGGCAAAAAAATCCTTTTCTCTGTTAATACAATTTGGTCTTAAGCTCTGAAAGTGATGATTTCTCCCTTATGTGGAAAATCTTGTTTTTTAAGACCAGACTCTCCCGCAAGACCTAGAAAACATCAGCTCCCCAGACAACCAGAAAATGTTCCCACTTTAGAACAAGCAACCTTTAATGAAATATGGATTCTTTCACTTTTTTTTCCCCCCTGTAATCAAAATTCTTTCATAGAACCGCTGCTGGGTCATTTCAAGGGAGAGGGTCTGCTTCCAGGCCTGTCGGCTCAGAGATGGTCATTTTAAAGGGGGAGGTTCGGCATTCCTGTGGCCGGGGTCTTGTTTTTCCAGAACAAATTCAACAGTCTGGGGTATTTCAAGGCAGATCGATAGACGTTTCTGCCCTGAAAATTCGAGACCGTTCCTGATTCTCTGAGCCAGTGTGCTGAGAGCCGGTGATTTATTCAATCCTGGGAATTCTTTGAAAATTAGAATAAAGTAATGTGCCTTTCTGCTCTGAAGACGTATCACTGGGCTCCAGCAGGGGGGAGATAGGGATTATAAACGGCTTTGTCCTTGGTAGGGACAGGCTTCTACTGGTTCAGCCACAACACCTTGCTTGCTCTGCAACCCTGCATAGAACCCAGAGGGTGGCGGCGGGGAGGGCACGCCATCCAGGACTTAATTTTGCCAGCCAAGACAGAGTAATCAGCTGAGCTATCGCGGCTCATGACCCACTGCCCTCTGTACCCACCCAAGTCTTCTGGACTCGCAGGACCTTCGCAAGTCGCTTAACACCTCAGGGGCTGTTCCCTCACTTCTAAGTGGGGATCACTGCAGAGCCTACCCCCCGCCCCCCCCGAGGCTGCTGTAAGGGTTAAACGACGCACAGCACTCAGCCCCAGTTAGGTGGCTGTCACACAGGATGGTTAACTTCCAGACTCTATCTTTGACACAAGGCTGTCACCATTGCTCCAGGGGATGAGGCTTGGGTTTGCGAAAGCAGAAGGGAAGGCAAAACCAGCTTAGAGGGGACGAGCAGGGGAGGGCAAATGAGATCAGACCAGCCACATCAGGATCTGGATGCTGGGGCCGCTTAATCCCGGCTTCCTGAGAAAAACTCTCCTCCTGGGCTTGCTGGGATCAGGAGCCCCTGGGCCATGTTCAAGGCACAATGCTTGCACATCTGTGAGGGGCCGAGCCATCCCGTCTGCTGAAATCCCCACCAGGGAGGAGGGAGGAATCAAGGGGGCAGGCACACGCGGCTTTTGAGGTCACGCCTAAGCCTTTAAGCTACAGAAATCTGGCAGGGGTGGGTGTGGGGAAAGGGAAGGGATGTGTCTGCAGGTGGAGCCGAGCTGGGAAACCAAGGATGATCCCAGCACCCTGACACTGGGGGATGGGGGTGGGGAGAGCCTGGGGAAGAGGAGGGGAGGGAAAGCTGCCAAAGACCCAGCAGCCTCTGCCCACTTCCCTTTTAGGATTCTTTCCTTTGGACTTTGGTGCCCAGGACTGGCTTCTCCATTACTTGTGGTTCTGAACACACCCCTCTCCTTACACCTCAGATGTCGGCCTCCCTCCTTTCCCCCCACCTCCACTGTATGCAGGGCAGGTGGGAACTGTATGTGTGTGTGTGTGGGGGGGTCTTTCCCACCAGGTGCCTTCCTGAACATCAGAGGGGAAACTGTAAGGCCCCTGGGGACAAAAGCATCTGCAACCCCCCTCCCCACCATCAGCTACCCGGCTAACACCCTATAAACAAGACCCCCAGGCACACTTGACCTTTTTTGTTGACAAACTTACATGGATGATGCGATCGTATTTCAGAACCCCTGAGTCACTGTTGCCCTTTCAAGGCTTTGTACTTCTGCCAACATTGCTGCTCCTTTTCAAAATGTATTAATTTGTTCAACAAGTATTTGCTAATAGGTGTCGGACCTTCTGGGAAAGAGCAGACGGGATCCTGAGGCATCCGTGGGCTTGGCCGCTCCTCATCTTGGAGGGTGACTTGACTTTCAGAGAAAGCCAAAGTTATTCAGAAAGCAGCAGGATATCAAGATGGCAAGTACCCTGATCCTGAAAGCGTACAGATCGATACACATTTCTTGAGCATCACTGTGCGCCAGGCATAAGCATTAACTATGAGTCTAGCAGATGTGCCCATAAGGGGCTGGGGGCAGTAGGACAAATAAACAAATGACTGAGAGACAGTGAGAAGCTTGCAGGGATGGTGGGGAGTGAAACAAGCCAGGCGGGTTACTGACCCGAGGGGGCGTGAGCAGCAAGCCCATGGAGAGAGGGGCACCCACATCGAGGTTAAAGGCTGCGTTGCAAACTTTTCAAAGCCCTCCCGTCTGCCATATCGGTCTGCCACATTGGTCCCACAGCCCTGTTTTCTTGATGAGGAAATGGAGGATCTGAGAAGCTAGATTTGCCTACCATCACAGGTTTGGCACAAGTGAGGAGAGGAGGACCCAGGCGGGAACCCAATAAATACC